TTTCAATAAAACCCATTAAATTCAAATCATTTTCTTAATCCATGAGATTCATAAAAATAATACAAATGGATTCATCAAAGTCAATAAGATAGAGAAAAAGAATTTTCAAGAAAAATACTTTTCTCTATTTAGTTGTTTCATACAAGTATACTTTTGTCTTTTTTGTGAAAAAAAAAAAATATATATCATCAATCATTTCGAGTCAAAAAATAAATTGTCATAAATGCCATCAAGATTCTAATCATTATTTCAATCTACATATCATGAGAACAATAAATTTGCACTATAGACAATCTCATGTTTTATCATTCAAGCTAGCATATATTTTTGTAATTAGCAAGCTAACAATTTCCTTTTTCTTTTATAACAGTGATTCAATCATATCATGCGATAAACATATCATAATTACAAAGGAGTATTGAATCATAAAGAAAATCAATTTATGCATAAAATGTTCCAAGCATCAAGGTACATTTTCTCAAATTGTGGATATAAAAAAATCAAGAGAAAACAGCTTAATTATTTATTTTGAAAAATGTTCTCTTTGATAAAACGAGAGAATCATGATTAACAATCTTGATTTATAAAATGAATACTCAAGTTATAATTCCGAAAAATCAAGAGAAACCGTGATTCATTTTAACAAATCTCCTCTTAAATAAATAATGTAAAGAATTCTTAGGAAATCATAAAAGAGATAGAATTTATTCAATCTTGTAAGAGAACAAGACATTAATTCATGTATATAGAATCTTGACTTAAGCATAAAAAATCTCAATTTATAAATTTCAAAATATCAAGATAAAGCTCATTTAAATCATCAAATCAAGATCATTTTCAAGAGATTCACAAAAGTGATATAAAAAGATTCATTAATTTCCCTTTTTGAAAAATTGATAAAGTCGGAAAAATAATTTTTTTAAGAAGAAACATTTTCACTTTTTAGTTGTTTTAATTTATGTGATTTATTTCATACATGCATGTTCTTTTCTTTTATGGCAAATAAAAACATGCATCAATATTTAGGATCGAAAAAAAAAAAACACAAAAATCATTATGTATAGCTTTTAAAATCTCATGTATAAAATCGTCAATCATGGTATCAAAACATTTAATATTTTCATTACATCATTATGCATTAATTTCATTGAACATAATTTTGAATGATTCTTATAGATAACTAAAACTTCTTTAATTTTAATTTATGTGATTGACTTTATATTAGCATGTTCAAATTTTGTTCTTATGTCAAAACCATACATCATGTTTGAAAACCAAAGACAAGGTTCATAAAAAATCATCAAGCCTTCCATACAAAAGCCATGCATCGTCATTGAAAATCAATATGGAAATCATCAAAATACACATTCTTGCTTCTCAAGCACATACATAAGATTAATCTTACTAGGTGTACAAGCATTAGATTTATATCTAACATTTTATTGTATTAACATAAAATATATAATTTTCATTGTCATTTTCAAAATTATGAGCATGATCATATTTTTGTATTTTCATTTTTAAACATTTAATTTTCAAGAAAATTGATTCAAAACTAAATTACAAAAAAAAGTGCATTATGAAAAGCATTATGTAATTTCGAAGTAAATTAGGGGAATTTCGATTACCTCATCATTGAAAGCGGTTAAGATATAGTTTGCCACATTGCCTTTCTTGATTTTCTCTTCGCTTTCGGAGGAGCTCAATTCATCCCAATTTTTGTTTTTCTTCTTACATTTAAAGCAAGTAGTTCCGTTCTTTTTGCTTTTTAATTTTTGTTTCATTTGTAATTTAAGTTCACCATCACTTGAGCTTATGCTCGAGTGGTCTTCATGTGTTCTATGTCCCAAATCCTTCCTGTCCTTTGGAAGGTTGTTCTCGAGTTTCCTTTTTGTCACATTGTTCATTTCGTATGTCATTAAAGACCCAATTAGTTCTTCGAGTGGAAATGTTTTAAGATCCTTGGCCTCTTGAATGACCGTAACTTTTGAATCCCAACTCATTGGAAGGGATCTTAAAATTTTAGTTATTAGTTCAAAATTAGAAAAATCTTTACCAAGAGCTTTGAGTCCATTGATGACATCCGTGAAACGAGTGTACATGTCTCCGATGGACTCACTTGGTTTCATTTGGAAAACTTCGTAAGATGCACAAGAATGTTGATTTTAGACTCTTTCACTCGGCTAGTGCCTTCATGAGTGACCTCAAGAGTTCTCCAAATATCAAAAGTTGAATCACAAATCGAAACGCGATTAAATTCATTTTTGTCAAGTGCACATTATTAGGCATTTATAGCCTTTGTATTTAGAGAAAATATCTTCTTCTCCAAATCATTCCAATGGTTCATTGGAAGAGAAGACATTTCAAATCCATTTTCGACTATGTCCCATAAATTCAAATCTAAAGAAAGTAAGAAAACTCTCATTCGAGTTTTTCCAATAAATGTAGTCCGTCCCATTGAAAAAGAGAGGACGAATGAGAGAGTGCCCCTCTTGAAGGCTGTAAAGAGCCATTTCTCTTGGGTGTTAAACCAACTGAGAAATAACGAGGCTCTGATACCAATTGTTTGAAAACGATTTCGTAAATGCGTAGAGATTTCGATTCGACAAAGAATGACTTGGTAAAAGTAGCTCGAGTAAAGTAAGGAGATGAAAACCAAAAGCTTGCTGCTATATAAATAAAGGTTTCAGAAAGGTAAACACTCACACATTCAAGGAACACACCAATTTAAAGTGGTTCGGTCAAATGACCTACATCCACTTGCGAAGCCTTCTTCGATGAGGCTCCCAACTTCCACTAGTAAATCACTTTGAAGGAGAAGGACAAATACCTCTCTTACAACCTTTTACAAGTGGTTCACACTCTTACAGATTTTTCAAAGAGAAAGAGGGAGGTGAACACTTAAGCTATTGAAAACAAGACTTGCTAAAGACTTTGCTAAGGCTTTTTCTCAATCTCTAACTTCTCAAAGGTTGATTTCTCTGTTGAGAATTGAGGGGCATTTATAGGCCCCAAGAGGATTCAAATTTGGGCTCCAAATTTGAATTGCTTTTGGGTTTCCCGGTACTGGCGGTGCCATCGCCTGTCAGTGTCTAACACTGACAGGTGTACTGGCGGTGCCACCACCAGACCTCTCGGGTTTTGGGCGGTGCCACCGCCCAGTCCAGCAGTTTGCTGGCGGTGCCATCGTCGGAACTCTCGGGTTCTGGGCGGTGCCATCGCCTAGACTATTTCAGCTCACTGGTTGATCTCCAAACTTGGCCCAAACCAGTCCGAACATGGGCCCAATTGGCCCCTAACTGGGTTATAGGATTAATCCTTAATCCTAACCCTAATTACATGTAAATTACGAAATTAAGACATAGTCATAACCAAGTTTTTAACCGGCAACGTCGAGTTTCCTTCCGGCGAGCTTTTCGACTTTCTTCCGGCGGACTCCCAGCAGGCTCTCGGTCTTGTGGCGAGTTCAGCGAGTCTTTGGCAAGTAGCCGAACCTTCTCGGTGATCTTTGCGAACCTCCTACGATCTCTCCGGCGGACTTCTGAAAACTTTGGCAAGTCCCTGATTTCTTCTCGGTTGGTTCCGGCTGCACTTCCGACGAATCTTCAGACTCTCGGCGGACTCTCGAACACCCATCGAACTTGACTCCGATAGACTTGCTTTATGTCTTCAAGCTATCGTAGTTAATCCTGCATAAGTAAAGCAAAACTTCGATCTAGACAATTACTCCTAAGCAATTAATCAAGTTGTCCGGCATGTCATTGGTCCCTCGACGCTTCGTCCGATTCTTCGGCGCATCGTCCTCTCTTGCGGCCTATTGCCCAATCGGCTAGTTGACTCCGCAACTCCAATATCGTTGGTGCAATACCCGCTCTTCTTGGCCCGATGCCCGAATCCACGGCCTAAAGCTTTCCGTCGATACATTGACCGATCCACCGGCCCGACGTCCAATCTTCTGACATGTTCCTCCGGCCCAATATGATTTTCCTGCTTTAATTGTCTCATCCTGATCGAAGCATCCTATGTCACTCAAAATGCAGATTAAATCATAAACACATATCAAGTGGTTTCATTATCAAAATACGAGATTCAACATATAGCACCATTACACACACAACTACTACTTTGCGACAGTCACTGGAACTACTAATTTTAATCATTCCAAAGATCTTCATACCCCCTTATTTTCTTCAATTCTTACATGGACAAATAAGTCAATGTTAGTTCAATATGGAACATGTGTTTATAGTGGGAGGTATAGAACAAATTACTCATTTGGACTTGACATTAATGCATACAGTTGCTTGGGTCGCATTCCACTTCTGGCTGAAGGAACATTTTCTGGTTTTCTTTACAGCTCTAAATATCTGAAAATAGCTTCAGTTTCCATTACTTATTCACCAAGCACACTTACTAATTATAGTAGCTTCATTTTACTTTTGTATTTTCTTGTTTAGTGACTAATTTTTCTTCATCATCATTTCATCTTCAGGCACTATGATTAATGGTGAGCCTATTATTACCCTGCCGCCAAAGATTGTCACTTTGAAGAAGGTGGACTTCTCGGAAGGGGAACGGGCTTTCTACACTAATCTAGAAGCTGAATCTCGAGAGCAGTTTAAGGTGCATTTATGCTTCTTGATTGTCTTTAATTGTTGCTTTTATGATGAATCTTGGTTTTTGTTATCTTAGTCAACAAGCTATGGACTTGAAGAGAAACCCAAATTATGAACTAATCAAGTTTGCTAGATTTGAAAGTTTAACTAGTGATGGAATATGGTTATGTTTGGGAACACATTTGCATTTTTAATATGCAGCTAGAGAAAGTGATTTTAGTAAATGTGTAGTTGTGAAATGCTTCGAGTGTTTGGTAAGCAACAAGTGAAAACTATATTTTAAATGTGCATTGACGTAAATGGTGTTTGGTAAAACTATATTTGAGAAGTCCATTGAATATTTTGTGACAAATTAATCTTTTTAATATTTTGAATATTTATTTAAAAACAAATACATATTTTTTTATTTAAATTAATAAGTAAATAAATAAAAGTAAAAAAATAATGTGCAATCCTATAAAAAATTTGTATGGCTCAGATATATAATAAATAAAAATATAATCATATAAATAAATATTAAAATCTTTAAAATTGAATAAATAAAATTTTATCATATAGAAAATATAAATCATATTGATTTCTCACTAAATCATTTTGGCAATCTTGTAATTGTAGATAAAGCCATAGGGCACATTCAGAATTTAAAATTTGCATTAGCATCTTGTAAATGTTGAAATGTTAATGCTACCCTGAAGTAACCTTAGCATTTGAGTATTTTCAATGCAGCATCCAGTTCGGATGCGACTAAAAAAAAGAAAATTATCAAACATCAATTTACATTTGAAATGTGCATTGAGCTGTCAATGCACATTTCAAATGTGTTCCCAAATGCACCTTATATGATCTTTCTTTATCCAGCACAAGATCTTGTATATAGTTTTTATTCACAAATTTTGTTTTTATTTTAAATCTTTTAAAATATCAGTATGAGTTCTTGGATATGGTGTTGGAGAGGTTTCAAGTTGAAACTTTTGCTTTTTGCATGCTCAGGTTTATGCAAATGAAGGGACTGTCAAGGAGAACTATGTGAATATTTTGTTGATGCTCCTACGTCTTAGGCAGGCTTGTGATCATCGCCTTTTGGTAAATGGATGTAGTTCTAATTCTGTCAAGAGCTCTTCCATAGAAATGGTTAAGAAACTTCCTGAAGGGAAACAGAATCATCTTTTGAGTTGCTTGGAAGCTGGCTTAGCTATTTGTACCATCTGTAATGTAAGTATGTCATTTGTGATTAGTCAAGATGGATATATTCCCTGTCAATTGGAATCTTTATATAACTACAAATTTGTTTACATATTGATTTCATAACATAGTCTGTTTACTCATTTTAGTTACTGAAATATTTTCCAGATCGGGTGCATGGAACCTTGAAATATTGTGGTGCTTAAACATTATTTCAATTGAGTTCAAATATTCTTTCTATTGATGCATTTGCTAATCAAAGGACTATGCACAGTTTATGTGGATTACTATTTAATTCATATTATCTTGTTATCAATGCAATTCACTACTATGATGTTTTTTCGTTTTCTTATTTTTTTCTCTTTATTTTATAAAATATTTTACTTAGACACTTTTACACCATGACTCATTTTTGACACTAAAGTACAATGAGGAATGATGGCAAACATTTGAGCTTTGGTAATGCAAGGTAGAAGCTGTAATCAATCTAGTTCAATTTATTTCTCAACCTTATGACCAGAATTAGATAGATTTGATAAACTTGATCAAATTCAACTAGATTCTGTTGGTTTTGGCCAATTTCAATGGTTTCATAAGCTAAAAACATGTGATAAGTAGAAGGAAGAAGATGCTGAGGTGGAAGAAAGGGAAAAAAAAGGAAATTTACAACTATGTTTATGAAAAAGAGGAGATATTTAGATATTGATAATATTGTATTTTTTATTTGCTGTATTTATCGTGGTTGACTGGTATCGTTGTGTTGTTTATTAACTGCTAGAATATAGAGGAAAGCATGTGGAGAATAGAATGGGATGACAAGAGTAGCACTTGACCTCTTAATAAAAAAAATATGCCATAATAATAGGATGTCGGAATAATAATTTTAATTTCCACGGACACTCTTCTCAAGTAAGATTTTCAATTATTTCTACTTGCATTTTCTAATATTTCATCCATATAATGATTAGAGTTGCCTTGAGCCTACAATGGGATATATCATTATCTCAAAGCTATAAGTAAACAAGTCATGGGATTTTTGTATTATATATAATTAATGCTTACTATAGTAATATTTTATACTATATGACTAATATTTGTTTTTAATATTATTCTCATAATTTTTATCTAAATAAAATAACAACAACAAAATCATAAGTCCCAACTATTTGGGGTTGACCACATGGATTTTTTGCTATCATTGATATCTATAAAGAGTCAGATATTTAGTTAAGAGAGAGTATTTATGTCTTCATTTATAGTTTCTGTTAAGGTCTCTTAAGGTTTTCATCCACTTCTCCCCATACCACTAATAGAATCATTCCATCTCTTTTAATGACTGCATTCGTAGGTTTCCTTATCACATGTTTGTACCATCTTAAACATATTTTTCTACTTTCTATTGTTTCAGAAAGCATTAAATATGCTTTTTTCTACTTTCTGTTGTTTCACCACACATGATTACAAATTTAGTAGTTATAGGAGAGATATATGACCCTATATCATTAAGATTTTATTATCTTTATAGGATCCACCTGAGGATGCAGTGGTTACAGTCTGTGGACATGTTTTCTGTAATCAATGTATTTGTGAGCATCTTGATGGGGATGACAACATCTGCCCTTCAGCTGACTGCAAAGTTCGATTAAATGTTTCTTCAGTATTTTCCAAAATTACATTGGTAAGTTCTATACGGGACTTACCTGGTAACAGTTGCAGCTCCAGCGGTTGCAGTTCTAAAATGGTAGATGCAGTTAAAATTAGTGGAAATAGGTCGTCTTCTTATTCTTCTAAAGTAAAAGCAGCTATTGAGATCTTGCAATCACTGCCTAAATCTCAATGTTCTCTTCCAAACTGCAACTATGAGAAATCTAATGGAGAAACTGATGGCTCCTTGCAACATGGTGTCACAGTTTCACAGAGATGTTCTGTGCATACAAATGATGGAAAAAACTTTGATCTAAAGTGTCAACCATCTGAAAAGGCCATTGTCTTCTCTCAGTGGACAAGGATGCTGGATTTGTTGGAGGTTCCATTGAAAGATTCATGTATACAATATAGGAGGCTTGATGGGACAATGTCCATTGCTGCTAGGGAGAAAGCAATTAAAGATTTCAACATGCTTCCAGAGGTCTGCAATGAATTTATGCAGTGCAATGCTCTGTTCATTTAGCTTTCTGAACCCCTCCCTTTTGTTTTTGTGCTGCATGTAATGGATGTTACTTTGTTGCAGGTTACTGTAATGATTATGTCCCTGAAAGCTGCAAGTCTTGGTCTGAATTTGGTAGTGGCCTGTCACGTTCTTCTTCTCGACTTATGGTGGAATCCTACTACTGAGGACCAGGCAATTGACAGAGCGCACAGAATTGGGCAGACTCGTCCTGTCACTGTTTCACGCTTAATGGTCAGGAACACAGTGGAAGATCGCATCTTGGCTCTCCAGGTACCATATCAGTGCAGCTTAACACTTCAATTGATTCTGATGCTGATTTTCTTATTCCAAAATTTCTTCAGCTTATGTAAATCCTTTCTGAAGAGTCTCCTGCAATGTGCTAGCAGAAGAAATTGGATATAGTTGAGCAAGTGCAGGACTTGAGATAAGCTTTTGTTGGTCTGCAAAACAAGACCCATTTAGCTAGTTAGAAGTAATTATTTGTCCATAGAACTTCTTGAGTTCTAGTACTATAATCTTGAGAAAAGTTTTTCTATTTCAAGGTTAAAAGTTTCTGATTATGGTCTTGGCCCATCCCAGAGAAGTTTGGTTTCAGCAATTCATGTGGTTTTAGATGGTCTATTAGTTTTTCTATGTTTAGAGACTATAATATCAAAGGGTTAAGAAAAAAATTGGTTTACCAGAAAAGGGCTTTAGTTTGTAAAAATAACTAAAAGAGCTCATGGTTCCGAACATTTCACTTTAAGTGATATTCTAAATTTACCTAGCTTTTTGAATGATAACCCAAGTTTCCTGTCCTTTTCTCCTTTTTCTATGATTTGATCATTTGAAAAACAAGAAAAAAAGATGGGGTAAGAAGAAAGGTGCTGTCTGATTCTATTTTAAAAAAATATTCATTTGGTTTTAACAATAACAGAGCTTTAAATTTTCTGGCTTATGCTTGCATAGTTATACTTGTATGCACACATAGGACCAAGTTGTCACTAAAAGATATAAAGGAAAGCTTAAAATATCAAATTAGCCATTAATATTTTACTTCCTCTAGAATTGGTTGAGATCCAACTGAAACTGCTCAAACTCCTACAGACCTTGAAATTGTTCAAAAATCTAGTGGTTTCTAACTTATTTGGCTGAATCCAGTTTACTTAGTTGAAGCATTTTATTGATATAATCTCATCATTCAAGGTTAAACTAAAAGTGATTTTTTAATTTAAACAGGTTCAATAGATTTAGACAAGAATGTGATTGTTAGTTGCTGAGTTTTGTTTCTTGACAATTTATGGTTTGAAATGAGGAAGAGTAAGAAACAAAAAAGAAGAGTATATGAGTGTGAGAAAAGACCTGTAACAGCAGAAGAAAGAAATGTTTTCTTGAAGTCTGTGCAAGGCTAAACTGCTAGTACTTTTTTTAAGTTACGTTGTAGAGACAGATGACAAAATTTGTAGCTTCCACTTTCTTTATTTAACCTCCTTTCTAATAAAAAATATTGGCTATTTTGTTGATGTTAAGTTTCTCTTCCTAAAATAAATCCTATTGTGTTAGATCTTGAACTAGTTTTTATGGATATGCCAGATTGTTTCCTACAGAAAGGAGACAAGTGATATAGGGGCATGTAGGAGAAAATTTCAAGCTTTGATGTGTTACTCAAGTCTTAGTGTAGGGAGATTAAATAATTTAAAGTCATACTTTCCAAATGAATTTTTTATCAAAGTGGTCGTCTTTTAAAGTTGGATCCTTTTTCGATGCTTATGATCAAATGATTGAATTGTTTGCATGAAGTGTTGTAGTATATTTGTTTACAGGAAAAGAAGAGGGAGATGGTAGCTTCTGCATTTGGCGAAGATGAATCAGGTACTCGCCAAACTCGCTTGACAGTGGAGGACCTAAACTATCTGTTCAATGTGTAGCCCTCGATTCATTTTTGTACAGTTTTGGTCGCTAGCTAACCTAATAGCACTCAGAACAAAAACTGTCTGCATTGGATTCTCTTACATGAGGTGCTCTCTGCTCTGGAGATGCACCTAAAAAGATCCTAACCAGCTTATCTGTGAATAGCAGCAATACGGACATTCCACAGTTTCTTCCTTTTTTTTTTCTTTTTCCTTTTTGGGGTCGTTGTGGTTCAGCATAATGCCTCTTCAGGGATGTTTTACGACAAGGATAGAATATTTTTAGAAAATTCTATTGAATTCAGCATTGTAAATCTTTCAATGCCATTAGTGTTGTGAAAATTATTTGATGGTACATTTGTCTTAATCTCAGAATCAATTATAATTTGGATATTCAAATTTTGCATGATATTTGGTTGCAAATGTGTGGCATCTTTTTGTGATGTGGCAAAATATTTCCTATGGATGTTGCTATTCCTGAGGTTGCTCTTATGAGCAATAAGGAATTGATCATTATCAGATTTTAACAGGATAATTATAATTTTTTTTATAATTAATTATGATTAACATATCGATCCTTATATTTATAAAAATAATATTGAGATTTTTATATTTACGAAAGTGAAATACTTAATCATAATTCTCCTAGGGGACATCGGTTCTGAATCATGTCATATGAATATAGGGTCCAATGGCTTTAAAATTGGAGCCAAAAAGTGTCTCATCCCGGATTTTTGAGGTACTGACGGTACCACTGCCTGACATTCTAACACTAGGTGGTACCACTGCCCAGTCTTGCAGTACCATCGCCTAACAGATTCTCGGATACTGAGCTTTAGCGATACCATCGCCTGGCAGGTAATAACTGTCGATGGTACCATTACTCAGTTTGGGCAGTACCACGGCCTAGACCAGCTTGGAGACCGTTTCCTGGGTAGTTCCACCACCCTAGTCTAGCGATGCCACCACTAGACAGGGTTTAGCAACCTGGTTGGGCCTTGAATCCAACCTAAACTAGTCCAATTACGAGCCCAGTTGGCCCCTAACAGAGTTAGTGGGATTACCTTCCAAATCTAACCCTAATTACATGCTAACTATAATTCTTAAGGTATACACTAAGCAAATCAAATCCGGTTAGTCTAGGTTTCTTTCGGTAAGCTTCGATGATCTTCCGATGAACTTTCGATGATCTCTCGGTAGTGTTCCAGTGGACTCCCGGCAAGCTCCTAAACTTCACGACAATCTTCTTGGCGAGTTCTGACGAGCTTCTTTGGCAAGCTCCTAGACTTCTCAGTCAATTTCGGTAGAATTTTTGACAAATATCCGGACTTCTGACGACCTCTCGAACTCCCAATAAAATCTCGATTTTGACTCCAGCACTTAATTTTGCTTTATGCCTTGATTGCTATCGTAGTTAATCCTTCACACTTTTCTCAACATATAGATTTGATCAAATAATTAACCAATTGATTTCATCATCAAAATCTGAGATTCAATAATCTTCCCCTTTTTAATGATGACAATCAATTAATGGCAGAGTTAACCTAAACTCCTCCTATCAATATGCCATACTTGAGAAAAGTCACTCTTGAATTCAAGGCTTTTGAATTCAAGCATCAAACCCATAAGTTAAATGCATTTAAACTTATCGATATACATATTGTTAGGATCAAGAGCGGCACTAAGAGGGGGGGTGAATTAGTAGAGCGAAAAAATTATCTGTTTCAAAAGTCTTCGTTTCAATTAAACCTGATTCCGACAAAAATCATTTCGTAAAGATTTTAACTTGAAAGCATATTGGAGCGAAGAGAAAGCAGTAAGAAGGTAAAGTAGCTTGCAAGAAAGGTAAATTGTTCAAGACGAAATGCAAACTAGAATTTAGAATGGTTCGGTCATTGTGACCTATATCCACTTTCGGTCCTCTTCCGTCGAGGTCACCGGCATCCATTAATAGCCTTCCTTCAATAGGTGAAGACCAACCACTTTTTATAGCTCTTTTTCCTTTTACCAGATTTAGGAGATAACCCTTACAAGTCTCACTCCTCTTTCTTAAATGATTACAAAGCTAAGAGAGGGAGGAGGAGGACACTTCTTGTTGAATCTCGGATTTTGATGATAAAATCAATTGATGGGTTAATTGATCTAATCCATATTATTGAGTTAAGTGTGCAGGATTAACTACGATAACCAGAAAACACAAAGCAAGAATACCAGAGTCAAGTTCGATGGACGTTTAAGAGTCCGAAGAATCGTCGGAGATGCTG